GCAGGGTATGGAACAGAGTCTGGATAGTTGTGTCGTTGGCGATGGAACGTCCGCGCTGACTGTTGATGCGCATGCGGTTGACGAAGACATCTAAACTCTTGCGCAGGGCCTTCAAGAATTCCTCCCGCTTCTCAGTTGTGAGGGCCGGTACGCCGGGCAGGTCCAGACCCTCGGCCGGCACCTCGACTGTCGGTAGCTGTTGGGTACCGTTCTTTTGGCAAAAGAAGCGACGAATCGAAGGGCATTATAATGATGACGAGACCACGATGGGGAGAGATGGGAAAAAATCGGTACCGAAGGACACTCGTTGGCTGGTCTGCAACGCTGTCCAGTAATCAGACCAAATGTTGCGGGCAACTGAGCAGTGTTCACAAAGTCGGCGCCTGAACACGGCGCAGAGAGGATAAACGAATTTTACTAGCGGATTTTTAGAACGCCTTGGCGACAAGTGGATGGTTCTACACTGTCAGTCCTTGGAATATATCTTGGCACACTAGACTTTCTCTAGTAGTACGTGCCGAATTTTGGGCCTAAGTGGAAGACCGCCTTAGCGAACCTACGTTGGGCTAACAATCTCGCACATTCTCCAATTATAACTCTGACTCGGAGCTGCGGGAACTTAAGACCTACAGGTTACCTCAAGATGGAAGCGGAAATACAGGTGTCAGTTACACTAGTCAGCATTAAACCAGGAAAATGTGCCGGCGAACAGAAGATTAACCTCTTTTCACATCATAAATTGACGGTTTTAGGCATTCGAGGACACTTATTTAGCTGAAGAAAGTCCGATGGGGATTATTAGCCGCAATGTTGGGGAAAAACAGGCCAATATCTCGAAGAGGTCGAATGCTAGGACCTGACCATTTTTGGTCAGATTTAAATCGTAGGCAAGATGGACATGAGAAAAAAGCAAGTAGCAAGCACGCGTCAGGCAAAGTCGTTGGCTGAACTTTGAGAACTAAACCAACTGAGAAAGTACTCGGCGACGATTGTCTTGTAGTCTGGAGAATTTACAAGTGCCGTAAAACAGTACTAACTGGCCGGTTACACAACTTCCTCACGTCATTACATAAATGCGCAGCTTAGTATGTGTGTGGGGACTGAGAAATAGCACGAGCAGCAGTATAATCAACGTAGACAGTAAGACTGAAATAAAACCGACCCCTCCCCTCAGATCGCACCTCGCGAATCCGGCAGCCCCTAACACTACTACAATGTCATTAATGCCTATGGATCCGACGCGACGGCCCCATCGCCATGCAACTTCGCGTGTATCGTGCATCCCTCCGGTCAGTCCTTATTTATTGCTGTGGAAGCTGGGCTGCGCGCGTGGAAGACGGACGAAAACTGGAAGTACTTGACCATCGCGACCAGAGGACCATCCTTCTAGTGAATTACACCGAATTCGTCTCAAATAAGGCTGTCCACACTCACTGCAACAACATCACAAGGGCGCCCCAGGCCACCCAAGAAAAACGACTGAGGTGGTTTGGGCACGCTGTTTGTAGTCCACCTCACG